GTTCTCTCTAGTAAATTTCCCCCGAACACCCACTCTTTGGTAGTGAAATAAACATAAAACCTACACTAATCCAATTAGTGTAAATTAGGAGCCACTCTTCTAGAATTCTGTGGGAAGGGCAGTGTGCTCTTCTCGTTCTTTTTTGCACAGCACCTGACAAGGAAAGGCTTTACGAGAAGAGAAATCCTTTTACTTCCAGAGCTACCACATCCCTTTTCTGACACTCTGTATTTCACTAATCTCTAGAGAAACTAAAACCAGGCCTCTGATAAAGAGGACAGAGAAGCTAAAGTTCCCATGGTTTGCTATTTATTATTAGTAGTATCCTTTTTGTCTTGCCTGTTGTAAGTGTGGATCAACTTGGCAGAAATCAAAAACCAAAATTATCTATAAACAACTGCCAGTCACAAAGTCTGTTATCAAAGAAAGGAGATAAAACTTGCTAGCCATGGGGCTAGTATAAATTTCATTAAGAATATAAGAATACAGTTAAAATAACACAGACACTCAAAATGGCAGGGAAACCAATTTTTTGGCTTCACTTTTGGTTCAAGAGGAGACCGATAACTTTAATAAGCAACTGCTATGTCTCAGGCATTATATATTTATAGATAATTTATTTAATCATCTCAGCAATCTTATTTAATAAATGAGAAAACTGAGGCTCAGTTATTAAATAAAAGAGCTGAGTCTGGAATCCAGGTCCTCTCTACTTCCAAAGCCCCTTCTAATAATAAACACAAATTGCTATGTATCAGAGACAATGACTAAAGATGACAGAAGAAAAATCAATGGCTTTGAGTTGTGGTGCTGGAGAAGCGTGCTGAGCATTCCATGGACTGCCAAGAGAACAAACAAGTCTGTCCTGGAGAAGGTAAAACCAAGCTGCTCCTTGGAGGTAAGGATTTTTAAGCTCTGTCTCACATACTTTTGGCATGCGGCTAGGAGGGACCAGTTTTTGGAGAAGAACATCATGCTTATGCTTGAAAGGGTGGGGGACAGCAGAGGAGAGGAAGACCCAAGATGAGATGGATTGACACAGTAATCAGTAATTGGGGTAATAGGGGCAGATGTGTTAGAGACAGTGAAACTAGCTCAAGATATAGCAGGGTTTGGAGCTATTGTACACAGGGTAACTATGAGTCACAGGCAACTTGTCTACACATAACATGAAGAAGACAAATAATAAAGAATAAAGAAATAATGGATTTATTTGACTAAAGTGGAAAATAAAGGCCTCTGAGGAGACAATCTAGAGATGGAGAACACAAACTGAGAATGTCCAGAGCTATTAGGAGATCAATGCAGCTGGAGTATGAAGAGCTTAAAAATCACACAACACTGTCAGATTAGTCAGAAGTAAAACTGAAATCAAGAATACCAAAACCATTGTTGTCTAGTTGATTCTAACTCATAGTAACCCTACAAAACAGAACAAGGTTTCCAACCCTATAATATTTATGGAAACAGAATGCCACATTTTAATTCTGCAGCGCTGGTGATGGGTTCAAATCACTACCCTCTCAGTTAGCAGGCAAGTGTTTAATTACTCAACCACTGCTGGTAGGTGCTGTTGAGTCGAGTACAAACTTAGAGTAACCCTATGAAGAAAAGATCTAAACCCTGCTCTATCCTGTGCAATCCTCACACTTCCTGACACTGAAGAGACCATTGTCGCAGTCACTGTGTCAATTGACCTTGTCAGGTTCTTCCCCTCCTTCACCAATCCTCCACACCTCCCAGCATCAAGTCCCTCTCCAAGGAACAGCCCCTCTGATTAACATGCCCAAGTATATGAGGCGAAGACTCATCTATCTTGCCTGCAAAAAGCACTCTAGCTGCCCACTCTCCAAGACATACCTATTTATTCTTTTGCCATCCATCGTATGTTCAATGCTCTTCTCCAACACCAGAGCTCACTATCAGGTCATAGGTCATTAAAAAAAAACCAAAACAAAAACTCAACAACAAAAAACAACCACCCTAAAAACAAACAAACAAACAAACAAAAAAACCACCCTCACGACTGTTGCTGTTGAGTCAGAATAGACTCATAGGTAACACTCTAGCAGGTGTTCAGAGGCTATAAATTACAAAGGAGAAGACTATCTGTTTTTCTCTCTTGAAGCCACTAGTGGATTTGAACTGCCAGAGTCGCCAGCTTTGGGAGAGCAGTGCAACTTGCTACAGAAGGCACCACTAGAGCTTCCTTAAATCACATCAAGACCATGAAAACAAGTTTGGATTCACTCAGGTATAAGAAGAAACATACCAACTGTGAGTAGAATAGAATTTGTATGGTTCTGAGTTTTTAAAGTATTATTCAGGCTAAAATGTAAATATCAGATTGGAAAGAGGCTATAATAAACACAAGGGGTGGGCACTCAAGATAGAGAAGTTAAACTAGAGGGAGTCAATGGGATAAGGAATAGGAATCTATTTAAGAGGAAGAAATTACAAAGCTTGCTAGCACACTGGAAAAATAAGGAAAATTAAGAGGGGAAAACAACTTGATTTCTTGATGATGTTAGAGTTCTAGTTTGGGCACCTGAATGTCTAGCAGTTCCACTTGCTGAGATAGAAGAATAGACAGAATAGAGAGAGGTAGTGAGAAAAGTCAAGAATTCCAAAACAACTATGAGATATCATCTCACCCCAGTCAGAATAGCAAAATTTAACAGAACAGCAAGTAACAAATGCTGGCAAGGTTGTGGGGAAACTGGAACCCTTATTCACTGTTGGTAGGAGTGTAAAATGGTGCAACCACTGTGGAAGGCTGTATGGCGCTTTCTCAAAAAGTTGCAAATAGAGATACCATTTGACCCAGCAATTCCACTACTGGGAATATATCCCAAAGAGACCATAACTGACATCTAAGCAGATATATGCACACCCATGTTTATTGCAGCTTTGTTCACAATAGCAAAGAGTTGGAAACAACCAAAGTGCCCATCAACAAATGAATGGATAGAGAAGCCGTGGTATATTCACACAATGGAATACTACGCTGCATTGAAAAACAAGGAACTGATGCAGTATTATTCAAAATGGTGACCCTGGAGGACATTATGCTAAGTGAAGTATCTCAGTCACAAAAGGACAAATATTGCATGGTGCCACTGTTGTAAAGCAGGACTGACCTTGCGGTTGGGAGGAGACAGAGAAGGATGGGTTTAATAGTGTATACTGCATTGAAACTGATGAGGAAGAAAACTGTTTAAGCGGGAAAATTATTAGGTATTTTTGTCATGACTGGAGTCAAGAGTGAAGGCTGTATAGTGGAGTGCACCTGGGGGGAGGGATTGTAAAACAATGAAAGAATTTTTCTTTTACTTTTCCAAGAGGCTACTGTACGAGGGGGGAGGGTTGGGAGGGGAAAAACGTGTAACAATGAATGAATGGAAATCCAAAGTCTCTGTAAATTTTCATTGAAATTAATAATAAATTTTTAAAAAATTAAAATTACATTAAATTTATCAAAAAAGCATCATAAAAAAAGTCAAGAATTCCATTTAAAATATAAATTCAAGATGCTATGAGGTATGAATTTTTCCAGAAGGTAAAGAGTACCAGAGTAATGTTTATCTGTGTTTCATAGACTAGGCAAAGGCATTTGACTGTGTGGATCACAACAAATTTTAGCTAAACTTGGAAAGAATGGGAATCCCAGAACACTTAATTATGCTCACGCGGAACCTATACTCGGAGTAGGAGACAGTCATCAGAGGAGAGCAAGGAAACACTGCGTGGTTCAAAATCAGGAAGGGGGTGACAACACTGCATGGTTCAAAATCAGGAAGGGGGTGACAACACTGCATGGTTCAAAATCAGGAAGGGGGTGCATCAGGGATGCATCCTGTCTTCATACCTTTTCAATTTGTATGCAAAACAGATCACATGGAAGGTTGGACTTTATGAGGAGTGTGGCATCAGGATTGGAGGAAGATTCATCAACAACCTATGTTATGCAGATGACAAAATCTTGCTTACCAAAACTGAGGAGGACCTGAAGCGTTTGCTGTGAAAGGTCAAGGACTGTAGTCTTCAATTTTGGATTTAAGTTCAGTATCAAGAAGACAAAGATTCTCACCAGTGGGCCAATTGGAAGCACCATGATAGATGGAAAAGAGACTGATGGTGTTAACAATTTCAGCTTGTTAAACTCCACAATTAAGACTCTTGGCCCCAGCAGTCAGGAAATCAAAAGACAATTGCATTGGCGAAGTCTGCTGTCATAGACCTCTCCACAGTGCTAAAAAGGAATGATGTTGAGTCTAGAGACTAAGGTGCACCTAATCCAGGCCATGGACTTTGCAATTACTCTCATCAGAGAGCTGGACAATGACTAACTAAGGATGACAGAAGAATAATCAATGCTTTTTAATTGTGGTTCTAGAGAAGAGTATTGAACATACTATGGACTGTCAAAACAAATTGTCTGTCTGGGAGAGGGTAAAACCAGGTTTCTCTCTGGAGACAAGGATTCTGATGCTTTGTCTTACATACTTTGGACACATGACCAGAAAGGATCAGTTTTTGGAGAAGGACATCATACTTGGAAGAGTGGAGGAACAGTTCAGGGTCAACTGAGACTGTAACTGGGGCAATGGAGTTAGGTGTGTTGGAATCAGTGAGACCTGCTCAGGATAGGGTAGGATTCATAGCTACCGTGTGGGATTATGTGTGTTGGAGTCAGTGAGACTGGCTCGTGTTAGAGTAGGGTTCAGAGCTATTGTACAAAGGACCATTGTGAGTTAAGGATGACTTGATGGCACAGAACAACAAAAACATGAGGTAATCAATTAAGGATGTCGACTGTGCAGTTAGTCTAGAACTTAGAGGAGGTACATGTGACAGCAAGATGCTGCATCAGCCTTTCCAGTTCAATTTACAGTGCTCAAGGTATTCTCACATGATTAAGAGCTCCAAAACTCATCTCATCTCCAAATTTCAACCCATGTTTTAACATTCTGATAGGTTCAAAGTACAAACGAACATACCTCGCCTTGGAAGATAGTATAAAGAGCAGGCAAGTTTTCCATGGTCTCAGGTCTTCCTGCATTCATTCTTAACATAATGTTCTATGGCTCCTCCATTTCTTTTTTGATAAAGCTAATAAAAATGTCCTGTCACAAAGAATTAAGACAGACAACAATTAGAGACATTGGCATTAAAGAAAGAACAGATGCTAGAGAATAATTATACCATTAGATTTAAAATTATGTACTTTTAGTCAAATCTCACTTTTAGTATCAACTCTGTTGAGAGGTTTGGGGGGATTTTTTTAGGGCTTTCCCCCCCCCCCCCTTGTTGTGTACCATGAAATCAGATCCTACTCCTTCTCCAGGGAGCATCTGGTGGATTTCAACCACACACCTTCAGGATTGGAGCACAGCCTCTTGAGAGTTTTAAAGACCTGAAAATAATAACTAATTTCTTATAAATTTGTTAATTATTCCAGCCATTAGCCTACTGGTGGTTTTTTAAATTGTATTTGTTGTCTTTTTTGCCCCCCTTGACCGAGGAAGGTTTTAGCGGGGGGGGGGGTGTGTGTGTGCATTTAATTGTGTGTAAGAGAGGATAAATCACAAACACATACACACTCCTACAGAACAAGACTAGTAATTAATCCTGGCTAACAAACATTATGTCCAGACATGTATCATACTTCATGTAACTCTCAAAACTCTAAAAATACAACTTCTATTATTATCATGTTACACAGATGAGAAAAACCAAAACAGCCAAGGGCCAAATTACTAAGTTTCTGTCAAGAAGCAGCACAAGCACATGGAATCAACAGTTGCTTACCACAGAGTCAGTGCTCTTAACCACTATGATAGGATTAAATTTGAAAATTTTTTTTTTTTTAAAAAAAAGCTAATTTTTTTCTGGCAAAATTAAAACACGCATATGCTCATTTTTAATGTTTATATGATATATTAAATCCAATAAAGAAAATGAAGTAACATATTCTCAACTGCTTTATATTCTTTCATTCTTTTTTATATGTAGACATGTTTTTAATAGAATGAAAAAATCATTTATTCATTGTTGTTGTTATGTGTCCTTGAGTAGCTTGTGACTCATAGCGACCCTATGTACAACAGCCCTAAACCCTGCTTTATCTTGTGCCAATCACATTGCCTCTGACACGCCCATCCTGATTACCCCAGTGACTGAATCAATCCACCTCATAGAAGGTCTTCCCCTCCTGCGCTGTCCCTCCATTAATTTAGCAATTTAGTAACAATACAGCAATTCATACACATTCCCCCAATCTTTAATGCCTAAATAATAACTCATTGCTGGATGTACCAAATGTATATATTTCCCTATTAATAAACATTCAGATTATTCCCAAATTTTGCTATGGTAAAAGCAGTAATAAACATATCCGTTTAGACGATGAATGATGAAGAGGAGGACATTCTAGCACTAACATTTATTGAACATTTACTACAGTGGTAGGTACTGTGTGTTACACAAATTATCTTCTTTAAGCCTCATAACACATCTACTCATCCTATTTTACAAGTGAGGAAACTAAGAAATAGAGAAGTTACATAACCTGTCTATAATTTCACAGATAGTAAGTAAAAAGAATTAGAATTCAATATAGGTCTTTCTTCCCTTTTTTTTTAAAAAAAAGTTTGTTTTCATGAGTTTACATAGAAAATGAGATTCTCACTTGACAATTTCTATACAAACTGTTCAGTGCATGTTTTGTTAGGTGCTGTCTAGTCACCTGTGACTCATAGTGACCCTATGTACAACAGCCCTAAACTCTGTCCTACCCTGTGCCAATCTCACCATCTCCGACACACCTACCCCCATTACCCCAGTCAATGAATCAATCCATCTCATCGAGGGTCTTCCTCTCCTGCACTGTCCCCCTCCACTCTCCCAAGCATGACAGCCTCCTTCAAGGACTGGTCCTTCCTTACAACATGTCCAAAGTATGTCAGACAAAGCTTCAGAATCCTTGCTTCAAAGGAACAGCCCGGCTTCACCCTCTCCAGGACAAATCTGTTTGTTTTCCTAGCAGTCCATGGTATATTCAATACTCTTCTCCAACACCACAGCTCAAAGGCATCAATTCTCCTTCTATTCTCCCTAGCCATTATCTAGCTCTCTGATGCACAGCAAATGATTGCAAAGGCCATGACATGTATCAGGCGCACCTTAGTTTCTAGACTGACATCTTTGCACTTCAGCACTTTAGAGATGTCTCTAACCACAGACTTTCCCATCGCAATACGTCTTTTCATTTCCTTGCTGCTGGTGCCAAGAGTGTTGACTGCGGATCCAAGCAAACCAAAACTGTGAACAATCTCAGTCTCTTCACCATCCATCATGATACTGCCAATCGGCCCAGTGGTGAAAATTTTTGTTTTCTTGATATTGAGTTTCAATCCATACTGAAGACTGCAGTCCCTGACCTTCCAAAGCAAGTGCTTTAGGTCCTCCTCAGTTTCAGCAAGCATAGTTGTGTCATCTTCATAACGCAGATTGTTGATGATTCTTCTTCCAATCCTGACGCCATATTTCTCTTCATAGAGCCCAGCCTCCCGGATAACCTGTTCTGCAAAAAGACTGAAAAGGTATGGAGACAGGATACAGCCCTGGCATACACCCTTCCCAATTTTGAACCATGCAGTGTTTCCTTGCTCTGTTCTGACGACTGCCTCCTGGTCCAAGTATAGGTTTCACATAGTTGCTGTGTTTTCCATAATGGGCCAACATTCTCATTAACTGCATTCTAGCTATTCTGTTGCCAATACTCTAGATTTTTCTGTCCCCCTTTATATTCTCATCTTTTGCTATAGAGGAGTTGTTGACTTTCTGCTCCAAAATGGACAAAATGCTTTAAGTGGAATATTGTGCTCACAGGGAATGTCTTTTGTTTGTCAGCATGTTATTAAAAGGCGATTTTAGGGGATAGTTTTGGTTCAAGGTTTAAGGATTCTCTGGGTGATAAGTCTCAAGAAATCCTCAAGTCTCACCTGGCTCAGTAAGTCTGGATTTTTTAAGAATTTGATTTTTGTTCAGCATTTTTTTGCCATTCAACCAGGGCCCATCTATGGTCAGTAGGGGCAGCTAAGCACCATCTACTGAGTCCTTTTGGTCTCAGGGTAGATGATGTCAAAGCTTGTGCAGGTAATTAGCCTGGCTGACTTGCTTTTACTCTAAGACTTCGGTTCCTTCTTTTTCTTTTGCTCTTGACAAGTGGAGATCAATTGTTGCATTTTAGATGGCTCAATCAAGTTCTTTCTGACTCCACTAATTGATATGCTATAACTTCACCGAAATTAGTTAGATTTTGGACATTTGTACTCTTCCATAGGTCCTAGGGAGCTCTGGTGGCCTAGTGGTAAGAAACTACACTGCAATTCCAAAGGCACACCGTTCAAATCCACCAGCTGCTAAGTGAAAGGATGGGCATTCTCCTCTCCTGCAAACAGCTTCTGAAAACCCGCTGGAGCATCAGCTCTAAGTTGGTTCCAACTCGATAGTATTCAACAACACCCACCAACAAGAAATCCTAAAGTTGTGAACAGCACTGAGTTCCTAAAACCCTTCAGTTCTATTCTTTCATCCCTAAATCTCCTACAACTGATATTCCCATAATTTTTGTTGTAAATCTCTCAAGTTGAGTGAGGGAGGTTTTAATACTAATTTTCCTTCAATCCAATCACATCTCATTAATCTTTCAGAGTTTATAAAACATTTAAGTCTATTGAGCCACTATTCTCTGATTTCCTATATGATGGATTTTGTCTGATTTTTCACATCCCTGGTCATTTTCATAGAATGCTGGGAAACAGGAAGAATTAATAGGCTCACTCTGTCATCTTGAAATGAAGTCACTTTTTGACACTTTAATAGGCTAATGGTCTCTTTCATTCTAAAATCCAAACACTAAACAGTGCTTCTCAACCTTTATGTGCATATGAATCACATTAAAGTGCAGATTGTAATTCAGTAGGTCTGAGATAAGTGCCCTAGACTCTAACAAGCTCCCAGAAGATGCATATGCGACCAGAATAGCAAGCCTTAAAGCTTTAGAGTTGAGGGGGACCTTGGAGAGACTTTTCTTTAGTTTGTTTAAATTAGGACCCTCTTATCAATTGCCTTGAGGGTACTATGCTTATATCAACATGCTTATATCACAGGTTTGAACCCACTAGCCACTCCACAGGATAGAGAGTAGCAACTTGATTCTGTAAAGATTTATGGCCTTGGAAACCCTATAAAACAGTTTATTCTGTCCCATACATTCTGTCTGAGTTGGAATAAATACAACAGCAGTGGGTTTATTTTTTTCTTTGGTTTTGTGGCTCTTGATAAATCACTGCTAGATAAGGACAAATGGCATGGTCCACAGTTCTTTTTCATGACCTCTCATTTACACTCAATACTTGAAACACTATTCTCTTGGGTTTCATTATTATGTGGATCTACTTGTACTTTTTATTGTGATTTGTGTTAATGTTTACAGAGCAAAATGGTTTTCCACTTCGCTCCACTCTGTTCAGCTGAAGCTGAGGCACATGGTCCATTTTGGGCTTTGCAGATGCCGCCACCTCAGCAACATACTTCTCTGCTGCTGTTGTCCCCAGACTCTGGCCATGGTCAATCACACCATGTATTTCAACATTGCTGTCTAGGGCGAACCCTTATGCCACGTCTCTTTGAGCTGTTTGTAGATAAAGTCTCAAAGACAGGAGAAAAATTGCAGGTTCTAAGAAATGGGGAGAAAAGATCTGGTTACAGGAGTTCCTGCTTTCACATGCCATAATGGTACTGGTGGAAAGTCCATCTACAGGGAGAAGTCTGATGATGACTACTTGACCCCAGAGCATACAGGTCCTGGCATCCTGTCCATGGCTAATGCTGGATGGACCCAATACAAACAGTTCCCAGTTTTTAATCTGTACTGCTATGACTGTATGGTTGGATGGCAAGCATGTATCTTCGACACGGTGAAAGAAGGCATGAATACTGTGGAACCCATGGAGCACATCGGGTCCAGGAACAGTAAAACCAGCAAGAAGATCACCATTGCTGACTTTGAGCAACTCTAATGTGATCTGTATTTCATGCTTTCTCCTAATCACCAGAC